GAGGGGGTATGTTTTAGTTTTGCCATGCGAGAATTTTTTAAAGGGCCATTATATGTAGATTTGTTTGATTTTCAAGTAAAACGTGATTATATCATCTTAGACTTCTATTGTATAAGTGGTAAATTATATTGTTTTAAGTACATATATGATAGATATAGATTAAGAATAGGGTAAAATCACTTTCCTATATATATTTAACCTTTTAATATATCTATATTTAATTTTTTGACAAGTTTGTAAAAATAGAAATAATCTTACAATTTATGATACGATTCATGATTCAATTCGATTCAATTTTCTCTATGATTTACAATATGATTACGATTTTCAAAACATTGCTTACATATGGATATATGTATATTACAATCAATGCAAGAACCCTATAACAACTAACAACCTGCTAACTTTTTCCTTTTTTTTCTTTTGATAAATCTAACTTTTCCCAAACTTCAGTTAGAAAGAAATAATTTCCACATTTGAAGCTCTGATGGTTATTTTCAGAGATGCTTAATAAGAGCTGTTCTGTGTCTAGAAGATATTTCAGGAAACAACAACATTTCTCCACCTTAAAAGGAAGCAAAATTCTAATGCTTGACTTATTTAAAAGTGACATTCAACTACTGAACAAAGTTCTAACAAGAAAGTGTTGGCACTCCTACAAGGGCTGAACTTGGCTAAACAACTGGGTTTTCAACATTTGGAAGTGGAGGGTGATTCGAAATTGGTAGCAGGCTGGATGCAAACTAACAGTTTGGGCATCTGGTCCCTTAGACAACCAGTAAGGGAAATTATGCACCTAACAATGGAGCTTGAAGTACACTTTAAATGGACTAGAAGGTCAGCCAATGCAAAGGCTGATACCTTAGCAAAGCAAGGAGTTAGTGGGGAAAACCTATTCTGGGCATGTTTGTAATCTATTTTATGTTGAGGGATCACCTTGCTTATGAAGGTGACAGTTGTACTAGTTTTCCTTAAAGTTTAATGAAAGGTACCATTTCCTATAAAAAAAAAGTGAGAAATGAGAAACGAGAAACTCAAACTAGCCATTGCTGATCAAAAGAAAAAAAAAAAAAAAAAAAAAAAAAAAAAAAAAAGAAAGAAACTCAAACTAGTTATTAAGTGTATTCTACAACTATACCTGTAGATATGTGTACCATGAAAATTATTCTCTGCGGCAGAATAAAGATAAATTTCAAGATAAAATGACCAAAAAGCCAAACTTATCAGCATTTGGAAATCAAAAACCAACTTTAGTGAAATCACAACTGAGTATTATAGTTTAATCATATATAACCAATATAAAGGAGGTGCAAGGATAGTGGAATACAGAGGAAAAGAATCTTAGACTCATGCAGAAAATACATTGATTACTAATTCAACTCAATGGGGGAATGACGTCAATTTCTGATGTTCAGTAAGAAAATTGCATTACAGACTAGCTTGAGATAGTTGTAGTGGCATCTATTTGTGACAACAAAATAACCATTTTAGATACAAATACAATGCTGCATTTAACATACACCAAATGAATATCCATCATCTTAATCTCTATCCTGTACTAAGTTGCTTATCATGTTTACCAGAGGAAGAGTGCCCTTTGCCATAATCTCTATTCTACTAGTATTAGAGGCATGAGAGAACAATGAAAGTCCAAAGAATATAAGTTCAGGAAGAAACAATCTAGATGACAAGAAGCCATGCCAATAATGAGGTTCTAGATCAAAAAATGCATCAAAAAACCTCCTTGTGCTTTGTAAATCAAGCTTGAGTAGAATATCCATGCCAAAGCAGAAAAACTCTCTCTGTCTCCTCCTCTCTATGGGCCAAAGATCCTTCCAAACTTCTGCAGATAAATCGTTGCCCAAAATCCCTTGCTCAGAACCAATGTACTGAACTATTGATTTTGCAACTATTGGAGCTGCTGCAAGTGTCCTTGCCACCATGTACCCAGTTGAGGGGTGAACCATCCCTGCAGTACCACCAATTCCCACAACCCTCTGAGGGAGCACAGGAAGGGGACCACCCATTGGAATAACACATCTCTCATCTTCTTCAATGCTTTTCACCTTTATACCCAAGTGTTTCAATCTGGCCACCATCCTTTCCTGTATATCTTCCATGGCTACTCCAGGTCTAGCAACTAAGGACGTCTCTTCCAGAAAAATCCGTTTGGATGAGAAGGGCATTGCATACAAAAATGTGGGAACCTGGCTATTTTTCTCTTTCAGTTCCTTCTTGTCATTAAGGTGTGAATCTCTCCAATCCATGAAAACCATCTTATCCAAATCAAAGGGGTGTTCTTCTACTTCTGCCAAGATCCCATATGCCACTTGGTACCCAGGGTTATAGGGCTTATCATACTGAACAAGACACCTGGAAAAACCAGTAGCATCAAGGACTATGGTGGCCTGGATGATGACTCCGTCATTGCAAATTAAAAGAGACTTAGACTCCTCGTGTATAACTTTAATGACCTTTGCCTGATAAAACTTGACACCATTAGATATGCATTTCTGCATCATTTTCGACTTCAACTGCTTTCTATTAACCCTGCCATAAGGCCTATCAAGATACTTCCTTGATTGGTCATCGATGAAGACAACTGCCCCTGGCCAGGTTGTGTCAAGGCAATCGAGCAAGTCCATGGCTTCAAACTCATCCACCCAGACCCCATAATTGTTAGGCCAAATTACTCTTGGAGATGGATCAATAGAGCATACTGAGAGACCAGCCTCAGAGACCTGCTGTGCAACAGCAAGCCCTGCAGGACCTCCCCCAACAACTGCCAGGTCCACGACGACGCCTTTTGATGGGTCATACATCGGGAGCTCAAATTCAAGGTTCTCCTTCTTGGTTTCGGGGACGAGTTCCAAAAGGGCACTGTTGCTAGCCCTAATGCAACCATTCCTACACCATTTCCTATGAGCTCTTCTGGAACGAAGCTCAACATCCTGCCTTTGAAGCTTTGAAGAACTTAAAGGATTTTGCTTTTGTGCAACCCCATGAAGCGGGTGCAGATATTCAAGCTTATAGTGCGTTCGGAGCAGGGTACCCATGAAATTATGTGGTGGATTTTCGAAATTTATCAGAATCAAAAGCGTCTCAGGAAGATCAAAATATGAACAGTGTGTAAAGGATTCTCGACTTCCTGACCTGAATGCTTCGAGCTTCTGCAAAATCTAAAAAGGGATGCAAGCGAAGCTGGCCTTCACACAACTTCAAAAAAAAATCGTAGAATTGTGACAAGAACTACAGCAGAAAGAGCATACTGGAACACAAATATGCAACAATTCTAGTGGCCTTCAGAATTTATCAAGATTTTCTATTTTCATAGTGACTCATAATGGATAAGAAGAACTGAATCCAAGTGAAGCCTTTCCTCAATGCAAATTAAGAAAATAGATTGAGAAGACTTAACGACGAATACAGAAACGAGAGATGGACAGAACGACAAGAGTTAACATCTTAAGAGAGGTGGAGTGGGGTTGGGTGGAGTGTGGGTGACTGAGTGTGGTGAGTGGGGCCTACCCACCATACCACATCATGGCCCACGCATTTTTCCTCCTCCCTCCAATATAATTATAGAAATGCTCGGCAACAGAATGGCGGTGATCCTTGATATCAGTCCACTGGTTTGCACTTGGCAGTGTTTGTCTGGTTCTGCACAAGAAGGGCACAAAGAATTGTGTGGATTCAGAAGTTCAACCGACTAAAGCGGTAGCTGGTAGCCTAGAGTTGACCCACTACGTGTCTCGTGTTATAACTTATAAGCTAGTGATTTCTACAACCACCTCCTGATTCTACGATTAGCATTTCCACTTTGTAGAGCGCTGTACAGATTGATACGTGGTTGTGAATCCGCCTCGTCAACCAATAAAAAGATGAGCTCGGATCTGCTTCTACCCACCACCAGACACCGACACGATGGCAGAGATGTTTCCCATGTGCGGCTGTAGCATCTCGTGGGTTTTTTTTTTATTTTTGAGAAATGGTGACTGGTTAGATGAGATGAGACCGGATTCAGTCCTCACAAATATGCATAAATAGGAAGCACCTAATCGGAATTTAATTCAAATTGAACTCATTTTTTTGTGGGTTTTAGACTAAATGATCTTTTAATTTGTACCATTTGTTAGGGTTAGATTTTTAGAATCTAAACTCTTTATGCACATAAAACTACAAAACCCTTTTTCGATCCTATCCTCTTTTACATTTGAGTACGGGATGGATCGGACTAGTGGATTGAATCCAGAACTTCTTATTATATATAAGCAATAAATAAGAAAAATAATATAAATAAACATCAAAATTTTTAATTATATACATAGACACACATTTGAGGTCGGCTCAATTAGTAAATAAGACTATATTGGGATTGAACTTTATTTAAAGATCAATTTAAACTGAGTTGAATCAAACTTTTTATGAGTTGAGCTCGAATAGCTATCAATTTGTATCCACTTCATATAAACTATCAATTATCTTTTACATAAAATTCAAAATATTATTATATTCAATACCTAATAGGCTAATACATAAGTGCATATGCCTTCTAACAATATATGGGTCGGAGATGGTTGGGATTAGCCTAATATGAAACCTACCCATACCCATAAAAGGCCATGTAAGTTCTTAACAATTTGAGTGTGCTTTAGAATCCAAATAAACCTATTTTCTGTTAATAATGTATATTTTATTCTATGTTTAATTGTGTAGGTTTATGCTTATTTTAAATAGATTACCGTTGCCCTTTTTACCCCAACTTTCCAAGTTACCCCCATACTGAAATTACAAAATTACCCCTTTTGACCACCCCAAGTTGTCAAATGCTCCTCTCTCTCCAAATCCTAACTTACTAAAACCCCATTCACTTTGAGAATTTTTGAAACCACCCTTCCTTCCCATTATTATAAATAGAAGGCAACATTCCTTAGAAAGGGGGCTCGATTTGAAGAAGAAAGAGGGGGTTCTCTCGATTTTGAAAGGGGAAGAGTGTCTCCGAATCCGAGAGAAAAGAAAGAGAGGGAAATTTTCGAACTAAGAATAAAAGAGAAAAATAGAGAGAGAGAGAGCATAGAGGGGCTCTTGAATGAAATCAGCGAGAAAGGATCTTGTGACCAAGAACAAAGAGAGAGAGGGGGCTGTTGAGCTAAAAGAAGAGCGAGAGTGAAGAGAAAGAGAGGGGTGAAGAGTCTCTCAAATTTGGAGAAAGAGGGAGGAGATTGAGAGAGGATTATTGAGCGGGAAAGAGAGAGAGAGAGTAGAGATGTTGAGAGATGTGGAAGATATTAGCTAGAACGAAGGAAAGCTGAAAAGAGAGAAGCTCGAGTTCAGCCAAGAGAGATCAAGAAATCAAAGGGATGTGGGGTATACGATTCTTTCCCCTTTCCTCCTAGTCACCTAATACATCAGCCATCTCTGTTACCATCGCCATTTAACACCCATCACCACTGAAATACCGGTGCCACTATTCTCCCCTCGACCTGCCTCCCTCTTTATTATGAACTAAAAATCCTACTACATCAACCCAAGCTATTCAATGTCATTGACTTAGTCGAATCGTCTCAGTTAAATTCGCTCATAGTGTACACTTTTATTTGGATTTGTGTTTTCTCGTTTTCCATGTTTTGACAACAACATCCTTAATTTGTTCAAAGGCTATATAGAGGTAAATCTTTTACCTCACTCTCTTGGAAAGTTTTTTCCTTGTTTAATATCTGGTGATCTTTTTATTTGGTCCCGCTTTATTTTTGTGAGTATAAAAACCAATGTGTCCTCCCATATTTGAGAGGTTAGCATGCTCTTTCCACTCTACTGGAGAACCTCATTTCTCAGTTCACATCCAAAATAAAGAAGGAATTCAGCTTTACATTGACCGAAGAGAAGAGTGCCTAACCCCTTCCATCTCTCTCTTTCTCTCTCTCTACTTACCTAGATTGGCCTTGTCCTGGCTAAATGGTATGGTGTCGCCATTATTTCTCTCATCTTGATGGGTGGCAACTCCATCTACTCAGCCATGGAATGAACAACCAGTTTTTTTGCCTCATATCATTCCAACCCCAAACACATGTACTCAATTACTATCTCCACCAGGAACAAGGATCCCCAAATTTCCCTAACCATTCCTAGCCATGGTTTCATTCATTCATTTTGGATTCACTTTCTCCTACCTTTTTTATAAGTTAACATATTGAAACTTGACTAAGTTGTTCGTTTTTTTATAAATTCTTATAAAATCCTAATATCTTTACGTCTTAAAGGGTATATGATGATTTGGTTTATCAAGTAATATTTGATATATCAAGTCTCAAAAAATAGTATATATTATATTACAATATACATAATTTTTTAATCGAGGGGGTTTAGGGCTGGGCTTGGAGCAAGGTGGACAAATACCACCCTGCCCCATCCCTAGTCACTTGAGTTTTTGATTTTTCCAAAACCTGCCCCAACCCCAATCAAGAGTTGAAAAGACCACCCCAACCAAGGCAAGGTGTAGTGACACTCTCCCATTGTCTAAGGGTGTAGATTCTTTGTTAAACATTCACGAAACTATAGAATCCTTCACAGACACATAGACTAAAAGGACTTTGCATAAGAAATTAATGGATGCGCTACAATATTTCCTATGGGTTAAATAGTTATAAAGAAAAGTAACTATAGAAAAAATGTTTTATGATAAAAGTATAAATTCTATTATCAAGGAAACTCAAGGAAACAAGTACATCTGGCTTTAAATGAATACACGGAAATCCCATTTCCAACATGAATTTCTCATTTACACTGTATCTGAAGAACTTACAAAACCAAGATAAATGAACTTGTGCTACTAGAGCACATCTTTCTAGAAAAAAAAAAGAAAGAAAACAGAACAAAGATCTACTTGGTCTCTTTCAATCATTGATTAGTTTGAAATTTGGATAGCTATTTGTGGTAGAAAATAAAATAAACAAACTAAGCAATTTGCCTCCATCTTTCTTGTCCTTCATGCAAGTTTAAAATATTGCAACATCTCAATGTATATCGTATGATATGTATCGGATATTGATGAATTAAAAAAAAAAATCCAAATATTAGGATGTAGGAGGAAAAGCCATATTTTAATCATTAACACCCTTTCAGATAGCCTGCTTCAATCCTTGAAGTCTAAAACAATCTTGAAGCATGGATATCACCCTTTGCAATTAGATATTTTGATACTTTGGACCATATTTGCCTGAATGTGGATTTTTTTAACTTTACGGTGTGAACTTGGGGCTATTTAAACAATGAAAATAACCCATCCCACATGTGGAACAACTTTAACTATGTGAGAAGATAAATGCTTTATGTCAATGACATGACATTTTTCATATTTTTTACAAGATAAATAACACTTGAAAAGAAAAACAAAACCATCGCAACAAAAAAAATAAAGGAATGTAAAATATAGAGAACTACCCTTTACTTTGGGGGCACTAACACTTGGTTACTTGAACTTTCATTTGCAACAAATAGCTACCATGTACTTTCAAATTCAAACACTTTACCATTGTTCTACATCTTTCATCTCTCATTTTTTTCTCTCTTAAACAAATGAAAAGAAAAAAAAATGAAAGAAGATAGGAAAAGTTCAAAACATAGGTTTCTTAGATGTAATAAAAAAGAGGGCAAAATGGTCTCACTAAAGTGCACAATTGATGGAATACTAATGATAAGAGCAACGTGTTGGAACCTAAAAGTAGATGGTAGCTCTCTCTTGCAAATGGAAACTTGAACGCTTAAGTGTTACTACCCCAAAGTATACAGTAGTTTCTCATATTTTACGTGAGAAAAAAGACAACCCCCTAGAACCAAAAAGTCAAAAACAGAAAAAAAGAAATCCATCTTGCTTCCTTTCTTCTCTCTCTTTTATCTTTTCCATTGACGCTGCCTCTTTTTGGCAGTACCCTGTTGTTCGGACTACTTTCAGGTAGACCTGTTCATGGGCCGGGCCCGGCCAGGCTCGAGCCGGGCTTTTACTCATCATTAATGGAAATACGCTAGGCCTGAGCCTGAGCCCGAGCCCAGCCCTGATAAAAAGCCCGAAGCTTGAGCCTGAGCCCGATAAACACAGTTTTACATTCTTAAATCAAAAAATTTATTCAAATGGACATAATCACATAACTCATTTTAAGTCTAATTATAGGTCGAGCTGGGCTTTTTGGCCCGAGTTTAAGCCTGCAGGCCTATAAACATGTTCAAGCCCGTCCGGGGGCCGGGCCAGGCCGTCGGGCCACCCGGCCCATGAACAGGTCTACTTCCAGGTGGCCGACGACTTAGAGGGAGAAGTGGAGGATTTTTGTTGGATGAGGACTCGGATGCCTGGCTGAATAATCCCTACCTGGAATGTGGCTTGGATGCCTGGCTGAATGGTTCCTACCTGGAAGATGTCTTGGACGCCTACCTGAATGGTGACGAGCTAGAGAGGTGGCTCTGACGCATAACTGAATGGTGATGAGCTGGAGAGGTGGCTCTGATGCGACCTGCAAGGAC